GCAGCATCATCTTAAGGCGCGAGAAGTAGCTTGACATGCTATCTGGGAGCCCATGCAGGAGCACCCTGACGATCCTTGCCGAGCCCTGGTTTTCCCGCCGTTGCCGCCCGACTGCCTTGCATCCTTGCCTCACCCGTCCCTGGACAAGTGCAGACAGATGTGCCGCAGGTGCAAAGCTCGTACGTCGGTGGGATTGGACTCTATGCATCCACGTCACCATGCGCTGCTCTCCGACTCGTCTTTCCTTGCCCTGTTTGGTATCTGGCGTGCTGTTCTGCGATTGGGTAGATTTCCCTCCATTCTCGCTGTTTTCATCATGAATTTGATCCCGAAGACTGATGGTGGCGAGCGTACGGTTGCCCTGTTCACGACGTGTGTGCGCGCGTTCTCTCGGTTCTTCAGGCGCGCGTGTGGTGCTACGTGGGCGCGATTGCACCCTCGTCCGTACGTGCATGGTGTGCGCGGTCATTCCTGCCAAGCATGTGTGTGGCGCATGGGCGTGCTCACGGAGTTAGCATCTGCCAACGGTTTGTCTGTGTTTGCACTCTTGCTCGACATCCAGAAGGCATTTGAACAGGTTCGCCACGAACTTCTCATAAGACGTGCTAGTGAGTTTGGGTTTCACCCAGCACTCTTGAGGGTTTTCCTGTCTCTGTATCGTTCCCCACGTGTTGTCGCGTTGCGGCGAATTGTTGGGGAGTGGGTCAGAGCCAGAAAGACTATTGTAGCAGGTTGCTCTTTTGCCGACCTGTTTATGCGTATTTTATTGATGCCCGAGTTGATTCGTTTCGTCAGTCGTATCCAAATATGCACCTTGGCCTCGTCGCCGACGACGTCCAGGTCCCTGGGGATAGGCTCGGAGAGGGAGTTGCTCAACATCGGTCCCGATGCGTTGCACCTTTTGATGAGCAAGCTTACTTTCTCGGCATGTTTACCGCTCTCCGGGAAGAAAATCGTGCTCTTGGCTACTGACCCCCAGTTGGCTCAGAGCATTGCAGCTGGAACTCCACGTCTCGCTGGTGCAGTCAAGTTCTCGTGTCGAAACCTCGGGGTTGACTATCAGTTACGTCAGGGGCGTCGTTCTCGTCCTGTTCTTACTGGCCGATTGAAAAAGGCCAGGTTTAAGGCCCGACGCCTATTGAAGATAAAGAAGGCTGGTGCAAAGGTTGCAGGTATTGTAAACACTAACTTGCGGCCCACTGTCATGTGCGGCATTGACGTCGTCGGTCTATCTACTCACCAGATTCGTCAGGCCCGTGCTATATACCACGCTGGTCTCGGCACAGGTAAGCGTAGGTCTGTCACGATGGATTTGGCGTTGCATGGTGTTACCGATCCTGCTATCGATGCGCATGCTGAGGTTATTCGTCTCTGGACTGTCTCTAGATTGGACTCTCTTCTTCCTGTCGGAATGATAGACCAAGTTTTCCAGTTTGCCTACGCCAAGGTGACGCCATATACCCCGTGGACTGAATTGCAGGGCCCAGGACAGATTTTGGTTGCCACTATGCGTAGAATTGGGTGGTCTGCGGTTTCGCCCACAATATTGCGAACTTCTCTTGGAACCAACGTTGATATTTCGTCTACTTCCCCTCGTGAAGTGGTGGCACTAGTGATTCGCGACGCGTCTGTCTGGTCCTGGAAACAGGCCTCTGAGCGTCACCCATCCTTCGGTCACCTGTCTGGACCCCCTTTTCTTCCCCCTCTTCTTTCCCTTTTGTCTAAGAAGACTGAAGGATGGGGCGTCCTCCAGCAACGTGCTTTGCGGACTTTTTTATCTGGGGGCATATACTTTAAACCTGTGCCCCATTTGCCAGGTCGTCCCCTTCTGACCCCGTGTTTCACACCCTGTATGAGTGTGATGGGCTTGTGGAGTTTCGTCGTTGGTTCGGCCCGACTCCAGCCCTCGCCCGTTGCATAGAGCAGTACCGCGAGAACCCTGTCTGGACCACTGCCTTGGTTCCCGACCCGCGCTATTGCTCCCTGCTTGCACCACCTTTTCCAGACCCTGTCTGGGAAGGAGCCACAGACGGCCCCTTCCTCTCGTCGCCTGCGTATGGGGACGGCTCGGGAAAGCATGGTCCCTCGCCGCTCACTCTCCGTTGTGGATGGGGTGTATGCTCATTTGCCCCGCGTGGTCGCAATGTTTTCGGTGAGGCCATCGCCAATGATCGGCTTCGGCTTAATGCTGGTGCATATGGCGTATATCCCTTTCTCACCCAGGATGTCTCAGGGGCTGAGCTTTATGCGTTTTTATTTTACCTAACCCATGCTGCCCCCTCTGACTGCTATGAGTTTGTCACTGATGCCCAGTGCGTCGTGGACGGTTGGGCATTGGGGTATGAAGCTACCACGCACGGATGGGCCACTCACGCATCCTTGTGGGTCCGTGTCCACCGTGCGGCTTCAGATATCGGGTATCACCTAATTAAGGTCACCAAGGTTCGTGGCCATTCTACCTCTGCGGATAATAAGCAAGCGGGCAGACTTGCTAACCTAGGTGCTGACCTACACACACTGGACACGGTCCTGCACGACCGTGTCAAGCGCTCTGGTTTGCTTGTGCGCAATCTCGGTGTGTATATCGGGCATTGTATAGCATGGATTTTCAAGAACGTGCCCAAAAAGGTTTGGGTGGCGGATTCTGACGAGTCCCCCGCCCCCACGGCCCAATCCCTAGTCCTCTCTGGTGCCTCCTCTGGGGCCTTGCATGAGCACTTCTGGGGCCCCTCGGCGGGTCGGTTTCGATGCTTGAATTGTTGGGCTAGTTCAGTTTCCAAGAGCTATTTATTGCGTTCACAGTGCTCTTCTCCCACTGGCGGTGGGCACGTGCTCAGGCGGCTAAATAATATCATATTTTGTCGACGATGCGGCCGCTACTCGTGCAAGAAAGCAGTTGGTTTAACTAAATCATGCACTGGGCCCCCCTCGGGCCTCTGGCACCATCTCACGGCTTCGACGCATGTGTGATGGTCGTGACCCCCGCACTGATCAACCAGTCGGTGAGGTCACTGCGGTTGACAATGTCAACGTTATATATGCCTTTCCTGCCCCTCACGATGTCTTTAATTTTCAGGCATTGTTTGATCCTGCATGGCTTTTAGAGGCCCCGTAGATTTCTCGGGTATACTTCGGAGGTGGGGTGGATGTAACGGTTCTGGCGTGTGTGCTGCCCACCGAGCCGCACGGGCGCGCCTAGGGATATCTGGTCTGTCTCGTCTGTCTGATGCTGGCAGGACTACTCGGATCCCCGACACCAGCCGCCAGAAGTGTTGTTCTGCAGTACTCCCTTTCCTGGCCGCTACAGAGGACAGCTTCCAGGAAGTAGGGTAGGCTGGGGATAAGTGGGTACAGAGGCGCTGAGAAGCAGGCGCCCGTTCCGCCTGCGCCCACTTATCCCGTCTGTGCTTTTGTCATTCCTCCCCTGGCCAGGCTCGCAAAGAGAAGACTCTTGCCTGCCCGCCGCGCGGGGATAGCTGTGCACGCCTCTCTGTCTGTGCTTTCTCTCTACAGTCGGACAGTCGGACAGTCGAAATGTCTTATTGTTACGCGCTAGGGACTAGTAGGCTGAGGGTGAGTGGGTACAGAGGCGCTGAGAAGCAGGCGCCCGTTCCGCCTGCGCCCACTCACCCTCCTTCTGTGCTGCTTTTGTCCTCCCCCCTGCCCAGGCTCGCGAAGAGAAGCAACGAAATGTTTCTTCGCTTCCTGCTGCGGGGGGCGGCATGCTTTCTGCCTCTCTAGCCTTGCTCTCTGTAGTGTCCTGTGCCGATTCGTCAGGGTTCTAGGCTAGGATAAGGATGAGTGGGTACAGAGGCGCTGAGAAGCAGGCACCCGTACCGCCTGCGCCCACTCATCCTTTTTTGTGCTCTTTTTGTCCCTCCCCAGCCCAGGCTCGCGAAGAGAGGAAAGGCTCCTCCCGCCGCCGTGCTGACTCTGTCTTGGTTTTAACTCTGCTGCTGGCCAGAGGTTGAGGCTGGAAACCTAGGAGCCAGGACGCGGGCTTCAAAGTGTCTCACCAGTCTTGCCAGCATCGCTTGTCTGTTCGGGCCCTCGATTTTCTCGTTGTCCCTGTTTGCTCGGTTCGGTCCTTCGCTCGGCTCTGTCGGGTCCTGGTCCGTCCCTCGTTTCTTTCGGCCCCTCTTCGGGCCCCTCGCTCGTCGTTTCGGCGCCACGGGCAGGAGTGTTCGGCAGACGATCACCCGCGCGCAAATCAAATCCCCCGCTTTGGCCGCGTGCCTTCTCTGGGCTACCCCCCCCTTGAGCTTTCGACACCCACCTCTCGACGTCCATTCGCTCTCACACCCGACGCTCACTTCCCCACCTCCTCGACCACTGAGGGCTCCGGCCCCACTGCGCTGCCCTCCTGGGGCCGGTCCACCGGACCGACATCGTGCGCTCGCCTCGCCTCGCCCTTTTTACCCAGAGGAGGTTCTCGCCGAAAAGCGGCTCGCTGCGGGGGGCACTTGCCTTTTGCACGATCTGACGCCTCGGAAACGGCCGATCGTTCAAGGTTGAAATATCCCCGTGGTGTCAGGAACCAACGCTGGGGTCGACTCGACACAAACCCGTCGCACGCATTGGAGAAGCCTCCGATGTGGGTATTGATCCATCACTGCCTCGTGGGACATCGATCTTCGGGGACCTCGGCAGGCAGCGGATGTGGGCATTTTCGGGCCCTGCTAAGTACATCAACCTCCACAGCCTGCCGAGGCCCCCTGAGATCGATCCCCTAGTCGGTGGTTATGAATCGATCCCCGCCTCTCGGAAGTCAGGATGCTGGACCCGGATGCCCGATGGCTCGACAACTTCGAGGCGGTCAGTTCGGCGCCACTGTTGGTCCCCAGAGGCCGCTTCTGTGCTCCGGGCCGGTCAAGCAACGATTCAGGCTGGAACGCTGGTCCTTGGGGAGGGCCCGGGAGGTCCCGCGGAGCATGCCCCGAACAATCATCCGGGCCGCTCGATGTCTGGGGAGCTCCGTGCCCTTCCCCTGCCGATGTCAGGACCTCTGCGATCAGCTGAAGGTGTACCTGGAGACCTTCGGCAAGATGACCAAGGACCCCGAGGCCGAGCGCACGAACGGGAAGTGGCAGCAGGCGTGGTGGTGGTGGGTGGTGGTGGTGGGGAATAGGCCTCCAAGATGGGGTTCGAGCAGATGGGGTCGAAGGATCGCGCCGCATCGCCGATGCATCGGGCGATGCATCGGGCGATGCGGCTCGATGTGGAGCCAGAATCTCTCCATGCCGACGGCGCCGAGGCATGGCCGACGTCGCCGATGCATCGCCGATGCATCGGCGGTGCCTCGGCGATGCGGCACGATTCTCCGACCCCATCTACTCCGACCCAATCTGGGGAACTTCTAACTCTAACAAGCGACCAGCGCGTGCGGCCGCGTTGGTCATTCGTAAACGTCCCTGCGTTTGCCTGGCTCGCCTGGCCAGCTTTCTAGAGAGCGCCCAATATCAGACCCCCTGCACGGGCGCGTTTGCGCTGTCTTCCTCTCCTCTCCTCTCCTATGCTCGGCGGCGCGCAGAGGCGGGGGCGCTCGATATGGGCGGCCTTCGAAGAAGGCTGAGAGGAGGCAGGAGGAGGAGGGAGGAGGGAGGAGGGAGGGAGGAGGGAGGAGGGAGGAGGGAGGGAGGAGAAGGAGGTGTAGGAGGAGGAGGATGATCATGATGAGGAGGAGGAGGAAGGAGGAGGAGGATGATGATGATGAGGAGGAGGAGGAGGAGGAGGGAGAAGAGGACGAGGAGGAGCGGCGCCGCCAGTAAGATGGCGGAGATGGCGGCCTCCTCCAGCGGCTCTCCCCAGCCTCTGGCCCCCTCTCCGCATCGTTCCGACCGCGCGACCGTTTTCAGCGCCCGGCCTCCCTCCGCTCGCCACTTCGGCCACCTCCGTTTCTGCACTGTTCGGACCGCCCGCCTCCGGCCCCCTCGCCTCGGTTTTTCGACCAATCCCAGATGGGCCTCCTCCTCCTCCTCCTCCTCCTCCCTCCTCCTCCTCCTCCTCCTCCTCCTCCTCCTCCTCCTCCTCCTCCTCCTCCTCCTCCTGCGGTATTTTGACCGATCCCAGATTCGGCGACTTCAATGGGTGTGGTTGTGCCAGGGTTTCATCGGCGCCGTTGGAGCCTTTGGGGGCCACCATGTGGCGCCAGAGTTTTGTTGAGGCTTCGTCGGGGCGCGGCAGAGATCTCTGTCGAGGTTCTGGCCCCCCTCCCCCACCCAGGCGCAGGTTGGAAGCCGTGCCCTTTGCAAACCGCACCCTTCGGAGTCGCCGGCCAAGAGGCCCCAAAGATGGTGATGGAGTGCCCCCAGCACTTCAGAATCGTAGAGCATCACGCGGCGACGTGCGTGCTCGACGGCCTCCCCCTCCCAGCCCAGGATGGCCTCGAGGCATGCCCTGGGTGCTTCGCAGGCAGGTGCGCGGGGCGCCCGCGATGCCCCACAGGGGCCCTGCATGGAGGCTCCGAAGGCGGGCCAGGGCCCCGGAGTTCGCTCCAGGACGGCCCCACGGCGGCCGAAGACTGCCCCACGGGGCCCAATGTGGCCTCCAGACAGCCTCAAGACAGCCCCAAGCGGCTCCCCAGGCCCTCCCACGCGGCCCCCGCAGGCCCCAGCATGTCCCCCCAAATTGCCCCACGAGAAGCCGAAGTGGCATCCAGAAGCGCGAGCACGGCCCCGCCCCTCCTCGAGCCTCTCTCGCCTGGCCCATCGACTGTGTGGTGATCCCGGGCGCGCGTGCCACTTGTAATCGCATCGCCGCGACGAGCTGTTTCATGAATTTCGGCTTCGATATGGCTGCGATTTGGCGGAACAGGCGCATTAGCGTCTATCGGTGACTCAAATACACAACTTTCGGACGTCCGCGCGGACCTCCGACAGCTTATGTTTATGTCACTGCTTGTTCCCCGAACCTAGTCCGCGTGGCAGCGCATCCCGTGCGATGAATGTTTTTTATTTGGTGCGGAGCAGTTTCTGGTTGTTTTTTGTTATCGAACCTGCAATGTTAAAAGCAAGAATGGGCCGACACTGTTCCGCCGAACGTCGCCAGCCGTATGTCATGTTCGGAATCCCGAGATGGATGGGATATTCAATTATTCCAGGGCTAGTATGCAACTTACATCGCGGCAGTGTAGTGGAACAACGATGCCAACAATGTTGAATTTAGACCTTTGGGAGCTTACTGGAGGCCCCTTGGAGTCATCTTGGAAGTCTCCTGGGGCCCACTTGGGAGCACTTGAGGCCCTCTTGTTGTTCTTTTTTGTTGAGGCCCTCTTCGGGGTCGTGGGGGGCCCTCTGAGAGCCATCCTGGAGGCCATCGATCCAAACACGCACGGTCCTAAAGTGGGGTCCCCCGCTTGGAGCCCGAACATGTTCACCTCTTTAGGCCACTCTTGGGACTCTCTTGAGTCGCTTTGGTGGGCCTCGGGGGCGTCTTGGAGCGGTCCCACCCTCTTGGATCTTTCTTGGGCGTTTTTGGAACCAGCTTCAGGCTTGAGGCATCATACGTCTACGTATTGGGGACGGAAGGGCGGAACTGCCCTTTTATAACAATATCTATAAATATGCATTCGGTATGACGTCTGTCTGGCACGTATGTATTTATATATGTATGTATGTATGTCTGCCTGCCTGTCTGTCTGTCTGTCTGCATGCATGCATGCATGCATGTGTGTGTATGCATGTATGTATGTATGTGTATATGTATGTATGTATGTATGTATGTATGTATGTATGTATGTATGTATGCATGCATGCATGTATGTATGTATGCATGCATGCATGCATGTATGTATGTATGCATGTATGTGTATATGTATGTATGTATGTATGTATGTATGTATGTATGCATGTATGCATGTATGCATGTATGCATGTATGCATGTATGCATGTATGCATGTATGCATGTGTGCATGTGTGCATGTGTGCATGCATGTATGTATGTATGTGTGTGTATATATATATATATGTATGTACGTCTGTATGTATATGTATGTATATATGTATCTTTGTATGCATGCATGTCTGTCTGTATGCATGTATGTATGTATGTGCATGTGCATGCGCATGTGCATGTGTATGTGTGTTTGTATGTGTATGTGCATGTGTATGGGTATGGGTATGTGCATGTGTGTATGTATGCATGCGAGCGTGAACGTATGCATGCATGTATTCATGTATGTACGTATGTATGTATGTATGCATGCATGCATGTATGTATGTATGTATGTATGTATGTATGCATGTATATATGTATGTATGTATGTATGTATGTATGTATGCATGCATGTATGTATGTATGTATGTATGTATGTAGGTATGTATATATATATATGAGTGTGTGTATGTCTGCCTGCCTGTCTGTCTGTCTGTCTGTCTGTCTGTCTGTGGGTATGTATGTATTCATGTATGTGTATACGTATGTATGCATATACGTAGGTATGACTGTATGTGTATGCATGCGTGTTTGTTTGTTTGTTTGTTTGTTTGTTTGTTCGTTCGTTTGTATATATATATAGGTATATGTATACAGGTCTGGCTGCGAGCGGTATTTCTATATCTATATACATATGTGTATATACACAGATGCTCTGATGTAAGTGGAGATGTTGACCTCCGTGGCTACTTCGGAGTTGTCTTGGGGCCCATTGGCCGTGGAAAGCTGTTCTGGGGCCCTCGTGGAGGGCATCCTAGATATCTTGGATTCGTCAAAGTGTGGATGCGGAATTTGGAGGCTCTGAGGGCCTAAGAAGCGCCTTGACGAGCTCGTGAATCCCCCCCCTCCCCGGCCCCCCCCTCAAACGCCGTTATGGACCTCTAGGGAGGGGGGGGGACCGCCAATCATCTCGCACGGCTTTCCACCCCAGGCAAGGGAGGGTCGGCGGGCACTAAAACGCTACCCTACTTACACCTGCCTGCTCCGGCTGACGAGTATGAGCATGTGTATGCTTCTGCCCTCCTAAGGTGTTGGTGGAGTACGAGACTCCCGAGGTCGCTGAGCAGACTGTGCAGGTCATGAACAGGTCGGGCTTGTTCGAGATGAAGCTGCTACCTGTCTCCAAAGTTGGTAAGATGCCTCGCCAGCGCAACCCATCCGATGAAAAGAAAACCGTGTTCGTGGGCAACATCGGGCGGGAGGCCGACGAGGACCAACTCCAGGAGGGGCTGGAACAGCACGCGGGGGAGCTGCGGAACCTGCAGTCGGTGAGGGTGGCGAGGGACAGGGACACCAAGGAACGGCGGCGTCAACTTTCCGCCCCGCCGAGCCCAGCCAGGCCCTTCCTGGGCCCAGGACCGGCACCCGCAGGCCTCCCCGGCCAGGCCAGGAGGACAGGCACGCGCGCGCCCCCCCCGGCGAGGCCAGGGGCGGAGCTGCCCGCCGCCTCCCGGCCCCCCTCTCCCTGGGAGGGCAGACAGACAGGCAGACAGACGCCCGGTCAAACCACACGGGTTGGCCCGTGAACGGGCGAGTCTGCAGCGCAGGTGACGAACGAACACCACGCACCCATACCCATAGAGAGGACGCTGGGGGCTATGGGTGCGTGTTGTCAGATGGGGGTCCCCGCTCGAACGGGAGCCTCCCCCGCGGTCCGACAACCCGCACCCATACCCATAGCAAGTCCTCCTCCCGCCGACCCCCCTATGGGTATGGGTGTGTGTTGTCCGTTCGTCACGCACGGGCCAGAACGAGCACGCGCGCCGCGGAGAGCAGACGCTGTGCCCCCGAGGGGGAGGGCGCCAGCGGTGCGCCCACGCAGCTCCTGGCCGGGCCCCTGTGGCGGGCCCGGGCTCGGCGCAGGCGCTCTCTTGCCCACGACAGGAGGGCGTTTGCACCGATCTCCCAGGCCCGGGAGGGGCCTGGCTGCTGCCTGATCGGCGTTCCCAGACTTCTGACGTCGCGATTTCTCCACGTGGGCTCCCGGAGACCCGGACTGCATTTGCTCCTGCTATATCGCTCCTCTTCGACTTAGGATATCTCGACGTTGAGTGCAGCTACAGAGCTCTGGATCAAACTCATGGATCCTGCAGCCTCGGAAACAGCCTCGAGAAGCCTGAGATCGATCTCCTACTTCGCGCTAAAGCCAAAGCACTCATCTCACTCTGCAGCCCCTTCCCCGGGACCGGCTCCGCATCCCGCGAGTCGCTTTAGGATGACCCCAGGGCCCAGTGAGGGCCCTGGGGCCCGGTACGGCCCCCCTGGGGGGCGGAAGCGGCGAGGAGCCTCCCGTCGTGATCGTTTGTTCGCGCCGAGGGGAGGTGGGGGGGCCCCGTCAACGGTCACGATCGGAGCCCTGGACCCCATGTCGGTGTGGCATTTCTCTCGAGCCAGATCGATCTGTGGTGGTCCCAGGGCCCAAATCCTTAAAACAGGGCCAGGATCGGGATAGATCGCTCCAGAGCGTTCCGAGCGCTCTCAGAGCGTTTCGGAACGCTCTGGAGCGGCCGCGGCGCCCAATACATCCTCCAAACCCGCCGATTCTCAGAGATTTCGAGTCATCCCGATCCGATTTTGTCCCGCTCTTCGCGTCGTTTTAAATCCTGCATGCGGGCGCCCGGTGTGAGAAAAATGGCGCCGTGCCATGCCGGGGGCGGGGAGAGCGGGCACAGCCGGATCTTTCTGGAGGGCCCCTCGGGGGAGAACCCGCCGACCTCGACGTGAACACCGCTGGCTGTGGCTGTGGTCGACGTGGTCGTCCCGGGCGCCCACAGCGACCACAGCCAGCACTATATAGGCTGGCTCCGGTGCTCTGACGTTTGCCGGCGTGCGCAAGGCAGCCCCGAGGGCGGGTCCTGGATGTGGTTTGGTGGTCGCTTATAAGCTATCCCCGCGAGGAGAGCAAGGGCTTCGCCTTCCTGGCCTTCGGGGACGAGCCCTCCGCCGCGGCGGCCCTGGAGCAGCTGCGCGGCGCGGGCGGCGAGCTGTGGGGCAGGAAGCTGCGGCTGCGCCACGCGCAGGGCGGAGCGGAAGCCGAGCACGGAGCCCCGGGCCTTCCGGGGATGGCGCCAACTCTCCGTTTGCCAACCGCCAGCTTCGAGCTGGCTGGGGGTCTGAGGTGGCCCAGCACTTGGCCTGGCATCGCTCGGACGTGTGCATTTTTTTCTCGGCGAGGACCATCGAGCGCAAAAAACACGCACGAAATCGAAAAATGCACAGGAAGTGGACGTCCGAGCGACGGCAAGTTGGTTCCGGCGAGCAGCAGGGGGAGCCAGTGTGCGAGGCGCCGGGGAGTCGGCCTCCGAGGGCCGCCGTCGGGCCCCGGGGGCCGTCGAGAGCGGATCCGGTGTGTACGGGCCCCGCGAGGGGCCCGGGGACAAGTTTTGGATCCGGGATCTGCCGCGAGGGGCCCTGGTTTGGCCTGGCCCCTCTCCTCGCAGAAGATCTTCCGCGAGGGGCCCTGATCTGGCTCGAGGGTCCCAGATCGCGGAAGATCCAGATCTACATGTGAACAGATCCCAAGATCCCGGGCCCCGCGGGGGGCCCTGGTTTGGCCTCATACCCCCTCCTGGCCGATGTTTTCTGGATGGGCCCGAGCCAGTTCAGGCCCCCCCGCCCGCCTCCAGAGTCGGAGCGCATGTCGGCTCCTCCGGCTCCGTTCGGTTCGGTTTCGATGGATTCTGATCTCGCTTGGGTTCGACTTCGGTTTTTGGTTTGGATTGCGGCTTCTCAATGGAGGCCTTTCTGGCCTGCCGATTTCCGTCGACCCACTTTTTGAGTTGGTTGTTGGTTCTTTGCTGATCCGATTCATTTCGACCGCCGCTCCGACTCATCGATTCGATTCTGGGCTCTCTTGCAAATGCCCCTGAGCGAAAAACATGTCCGTAGCCACAGCCTCGCTTGCCGGGCCCCTTGGCCGCGACCGTGGATATATATAATATAGGCCTCTTATTCGCGGCTGCCCCGCGCGGAGCGCGTCCGTGCGACCGCGCGTCCGTGGGGCCGCGCCCTGGAGTCGAGACCGCGAGGGCGCGGCTACGGCTAGGTTCGCCGCTCGTGAGGTACAGACCTCCGACGATTTGATCCAGGCATCGCTCGGACATGTGTATTCTTTTCTCGGCGAGGACCCTTGAAGACCATCCTGGACCATCGAGCAACAGAAAACACGCACGAAACCGAAAAGTGCACGGGAAATGGACGTCCGAGCGACGGCAAGTGATTGGCTCAGCCGGCGTTTTCTCTTCGGCTTCGGCCCTCGGTGGCCGCGTTCGGGCCCCGGGGGCCATCAACACCCCCAGGAGAGAAGCAGTCCTGGCCATCCAGAGCGGCTGCCCTTCTCCCAGGGTGCGGCGCGGAGATGCGGCGGCGTGAGAATCGCGCGCCACGCGTCGCGGGGCGCGGCGAGCCAAGTTGGGCGACCCAGCTTGCGCTTCTACGTGCGCTCTGGCCCGGGCTGAGAGCCCACCCGCCTCAGCCACCCTCGCCTGCTTTGCCAGCTTCTGGCCTCCAGGGGCCTTTGCCAGGCCCCAGTGCTGGCAGACACGGCTCAGGATGACAGTCACCCCACGACGCCGGATGTCTGGGCAAGCACGGCGCCTGGGGCCCTGGGGGTAGGCCCTGGCCGGGGCTCGTCCCAAAAACTCCGACGTCGTGTGTTTTTTCGCAGCGTGGACTTCCGGAGGCATCTGGGCCGCTTGTTCACCCCCCCCTCCCCCTCCTCCTCCTCCTCCTCCTCCTCCTCCTCCTCCTCCTCCTCCTCCTCCTCCTCAGCCCCCAGGGCCGGGTGAGCATTGCCCAAAGCCTCCCGTCGTGTCTCCCTTGCAGCGCGAGGAGCTCGCTTTCTCGGGCGCCCTCCCGAGGCCGCGAGCGGTCCCGCTCGCGCGACCGCCGCGACCGCCGTGGCGCGCGCCCCGCCGCGGTGGTGGTGACGCTCTTCGTGGACGAGCTGTCGATGCCGCGCCGCCCCCGGCTGGAGCCCTGCCGCGGCGACCGCGAGGTGTGGGCCGATCCGCTGCTGGACGAGGCTCGGAGGAGGGCCCGCCCCAGACTCACCACCCACCAAACCACCCCAACCCAACCCGAAGGCCTCAAATTGACCTCCATTTCCAGTTGGGGGGGAAACATCGAGAAAAACACATATGGAACCCGTACCCCCCCCAACCCGAAATTCGGGTCTTCGGGTTGGGTTGGGGTGGCCTGGTAGGTAGTCACAGACCTCCCCGCGTCGTTCCGACGCTGCGTTTGGCCTCTGGCTGCCCTTGGAGAGGGTCCCACAGGGCGGTCGGAAAGCAGCGCAGGGCGCAGAGCTGGTCCCCGCGAAGGGCTCCAGACGTCTTGGGGTCCACGCCGGGAAGGCTCACGACTCCGGGGGCCCGGGGCTGAGGCGAGGGCTGCCCTTCTGGCCTCAAGGGCCCCCCTCGTCGCCGTGGCTGAAGCCAGCTCGAGGAACAGTTGCGTCTGGACGCCAGGATGGGGTCTGGGACGGATTTTGAGCGGATGGGCCCTCTGTCGTGCCTCTTCCAAGAGGCCGGCAGCCACGAGTGGCTGCGGGAGTTCGGGGAGGTCGAGGACGTGTTCCGCATCCCCGACGTGGGCACCGGCAAGGAGAGCGACCGCGGCTACGCGAGGTTCGCGTCCCACGACGCGGCCCTGAACTGCGTCCGCTCTGGGCGTGCGACCTGGTCCGAGTCCGAGAGGATTCTCTCATCGTCGAAGGGCGGCAAGGGCAAGGACGGGGCCTCGCAGGACCCCGCAGCCGAGTCCACCAGCTTGAACTTCAAGGTGGTCATCGACAAGACGTCCGGGCGGAAGCTCGGTGTGAACGTGGACCACAAGACGGGCGGCGCCACTCTGCGGATTGATTCGGTGACTGGCGACCTCTTCCAGGAATGGAACCAGAGCTGCGCGCAGCGTGGCAGCCCCGAACTGGCAGCTAAGCCCGGCGACTGTATAGTCGAGGTAAACGGCATTCGCGGAGATGCGCTCCAGATGCTGGAGGAGCTGAGGCAGAACAAGAGGCTTGAGCTGCTGATCAACCGCAGCCCGAAGTCCGGAGGCGGGCGCCGCAGCGCGTACCCAGAGAACATCATGGCTGAGCTCATCGGGCAGAAGGGCCACAACATCAGCGGCCTTCAGAACGAGATCGGGGCCAAGTTTCTTGCTGTCCGCGGTAAGGAGCTTGAGGGCCCGTACGAGAGGGAGCTCGAAGACAAGAACGCCCGGCTCCACTTCGTGTGCAAGGGCGACGCCGACTGCGCCTCCAAGCTGCAGCCACTCCTCGAGAAGGCGCTGGCAGAGATACACGCGCGCGTGTCTGAGCGGATCAAGAGCGGCTACTACGAGCGGGAGACGAGGTCTGGACAGGGCGGCGCGCCGGCGAAGCCGGAGAGGCGTCCGGCCTCGCAGGGCCCAGGTCTGTGGGCGAGCCCCGCGGTGCTCATGGCGCACGTGATGCCGCCGGCGGGCATGCCGAAGGAGCCGCCGCCGACCCTGCAGGCATCTGGCGTGCCGATTTTCTCGAGACGCGGACCCCCGACGTCCCGAGCACTTCCCTGGGACCAGTTCTTCATCCCGAGTCTTTCTGTTGATGATCCCGGGGCCTGGCAAGGGCCCCTGGAGGCCTGACACGATGACCAACCTGCGTCTCGACTTTTTCGAGACGCCCGGTGCCTGCGGAAGGAGGGCTGCCGCCCGATGGCGCCGCCCCCGGGGTGGACCCCGCCGCCGCCGAAGGCCCCTCAGGCGCCCGGCTCTCAGGCGCCGCCTTTGGCGCCGCCGCCGGGGACGTGGGGCGCGCCGCCCCCAGGCTTCCCGCCGCAGCCCGGCTATGGGTCGAGGGACGCAGGAACACATATTGACCATGACCGAGCTGTCGCGGGATTTAGTCGACGCCGATGTTCGTCGTGGCCCATGCTGGCCGCCGCCGCCGATCTGCGAGGATGCTCCACGCACTGACACTGGCCAAGACGGACGGTGACCAAGATCGACACGATGTTTCCGCGTTCGGTCCTGTTTCCACGTTCGGCCCCCGTGCTCCTCCCCTCCAGTTGGGGGCCGCCGCCGCCGCCCGGGGTGCCGCTCCCTGGCCCGCTGCCGCCCGGGGCGCCCTTCGGCGGCCTGCCGCCCGGGGCGCGGCCGCTGCGCGACTACGCTCCCGAGGCCATCGAGATGCTGCGCCACCACGGTGTGCTCGACGAGTCCTTCGACGAGGGCACGGTGGCGGAGTTGCTGGACGAGCACTTCGGGTGGCAGTCCGTGGTGGATGCCGTGCAGGTGCGGCCCTACATGGACCGGTTCCTCCAGGTATGCAGCGAACTGAAGGTCTCGGTGTGCGGCGCCAGGGTCGCGCCCACGCGGGCTGCAGCTCGCTCGGCCCCGCCGCCGTCGCTGCCGCGGCCGTCCTCGTCTGGAGGGCCAGCGCCGTCCTCGTCGCGGCCGTCGCGGGCGCCCAGGCACGAGGCCGAGGCGCCAGGGCGGCCGGAGGCCGCAGAGGCCGAGGCCGAGGCCGAGACCGAGGCCGAGGCCGAGGCCGAGGCCGAGGCCGAGGCCGCAGTTCAGTCGCCGTGGCGGCCCGCCGTGTGGCGGCCAGGGGCCACCGAGGCCGCCGAGGCCGCCCGGCCCGAGGCCGAGGCTGCTGCGAGCGGCCCGCCGCGCAGCCTGGAGGCCGAGGCCGCGGCGCCCGAGGCCGAGGAGCGGCCGCCGCGGAGGCGGCCGGGGCCGACGGAGCGGCGCGCCGACGAGGCGCCGTGGCGGCCGGCCTCCAGCAGCAGGGAGGGCCGGGGGGGGCCTGGCGGCGAGGAGGGCCAGGGCGGCGCCGCGCCGCGCCTCGCGCCGCTCGTCTCGAAGGTCGCCGGCGCGGCGCCGCGCGCGGCGGGCGCCGAGGCGCAGGGCGCCGGGGGGCCCGCGCGCGCGCGGGCTCGCGTGGGCGAGCAGCAGAGCGGCGCGAGCCCGTGGAGCACCTTTGTCCCCAGGCGCGAGGTGAGCGCCGAGGGCGACGAGTCTCGTGCTCTGCCGCCCCCGCGGCAGGAGATCGGAGGGCACCGGCTGTGCACCTGCACCGATCCTGGCCAGGCCGGCCCCGGGCCCAGGATCGGTGCAGCAGCCCTCCTGGCCTTGGCAGGAGGGCGCGCACACAGAGCCTGGGCCCACCATGGGCCTGGCCAGGAGCTGCGCAGGCGAAGAGCTGGCGCCCTCCCAGGATGGGGGGCGAGAGGCGGCGGAGAGCTCCGCCTCCGCGCGCCAGAAGCGCCCCGCGGGCTGGAGGCCCCCGCTGCCGGCCGGCCCGCCGCCGCCAGAGCAGGCCTCGAGCCTGCCAGCGGGCAAGCGACCGCTGCAGCCCCTGTACCCGGTGGCCGCACGGTGTGAGGAGGACCGGGGGGAGCGTGTAGACTTAAGTCGGGCCTCTGGGGGGAAATTCAAAAATAGTGAACAAATAGTCTGGGGACTTTTTTCCCTTTAAGTATGTTTGGGCATCTTTGGGGTACGTTTTGAGTATTTCTTAGTTTTCGTCCAAAACCCCCTTGTAGGGGGACAAGCCCGAACTAAGTGTAGGCTGGCAGCGCCGCCCGCTGGTCCCCGACGGGCCGGGCCCGACCCGGCCCCAGCCTTCCGACTGCGTGCTGCCTGCAATCCCGGCGTCTTGCCTCCGCTGCGGCCCTCGGGGGCCGCAGCCATAGTCGGGGCCCAGGAGACGGGGGTCGGTGCAAACGGGGGTCAGCCAGAGCGCCAGTCGGGCCGGACGAAAGGGGGGGATTGGGAAAGGGGGGGTTACGAAATTTGTTGCATGCAGCTGGTTTCGGCCTCACCGAGGGGCCCATTCCTCGATACATAGCCGCCTCCGGCGCCGGGAGGCGCCGGGAAAATCAGCTACGCGAGCTGATTCTCAACCCCCCCCTTTGCTATCCCCCCCTTTCGCCCGACCCGAGCCAGATCCTGCAGGATCCTGCGAAGGCCCCCTCTGGCTGACCCGGGTTAGCGAGCCGCTCGTGGCCGCGAGGCGGCCGCTCGTATTGGCTGACCCGGGTTTGCGAAGACCCGCGTTGCAGTTTTTTTTCCTGCATTGCAGTTTTTGGTTTCCTGCTGACCCAGGTATGGGTTGGCCCGGGTCAGAAGATCCCCGACATCGGCCCCAGGACAATCGAGTCGAGCAAACATGGATCGGGGACGACGAAAAACCAGCCCGGGGGAAGCGGTCGGGCCACGGCCTGTAGATTCAAGTCGGGCCTGTCCCTCTTCAGGAGGAGTGTTCAAAGAGAGTCAAAAAATAGTCAGGGGACGTTTTTTTTTTTTTTTTTTTTTTTTTTTTTTTTTTTTTTTTTTTTTTTTTTTTTTTTTTTTTTTTTTTTTTTTTTTTTTTTTTTTGGTTTTTGTTTTTTTGTTTTTTGATGTTTGATCATATGGGGGTATTTTTGGAGTATTTTTTAGTTTTCACCTAAAATCCCCCCTGTAGGGGGACAGGCCCGACCTGACTGTAGACTGGCACCACCACTCCGTGGTCACACGACGGGCTGGGCCGGCCCCGCCCGCCGCCCCAGAGGGCGCGGAGCCGTGGGGCTCTGGTCTGCCGCGCGTTTCCCGAAGGGGTCTGAGCACACACTCGGGCGATCGCAAACATGGGCCCAACCCAGACCCCCTCGGGTCATGAAAAAATCACGACGGGAGGTTTTTCACTATTTTCGGCCCCTGGGGGCTCTCACTGGGCCTCGGGACCGTCAAAAAACGACTCAGGATGAAAAACTGGTCCAGGGGAATGGGTCCAGACCTCTGGGGGTCGCGTCATGAAAAAATCATGACGTCGGGGGTCTGGGAAGGGGTCGCGGATTCGCGGCGGGCCCCATTTCCAAGTGAGATCGCGGAGTTCCGCCGCCGAAGGGGGCGGCACCGGCCGCATCTTGGGGAGGGCTAAGACAGGGCTAGGATCGGGATAAATCGCTCCAGAGCGTTCCCGAGCGCTCTCAGAGCGTTCCGGAACGCTCTGGAGCGGCCGCGGCGCCCAATACATCCTCCAAACCCGCCGATTCTCAGAGATTTCGAGTTATCCCGATCCGATTTTGTCCCGATCTTCGCGTCGTTTTAAGGGCACCTCCCCCTATCCATGGATTTGGCGACCGCGCGTCAAACCTGGATCGTTGAATCCATTTTTGCGCGCCCCCGAACGCTGGACCTCCCGGTGGGTGCGGTCCAGCCTGTCTGCCAGGCACCTCGTAAAAACGCGGCAGGCCAGGATCTCATGACCCCGACGGATGTGGCGTCGACCTTGGCGGCGGTGTCGGTGCGCCCTGCGGACGTCCGATTTTTTTTTTTTTTTTTCGTTGCGAGGCCCTGGAAGCCGCACCCCTTTCCCCAGGGCCGGCCCCTCACCCCGAGTAGCTTTTTGTTGGTCCCCGAGCCTGGCGAGGGCCCCGGAGGCCGACGGCCTAAAACCTTCCGTCGCGAGTTTTCCACGACGCGAGCCCCCCCCCCCTGGAGACCATGACCGGGCGCGGGGGAGAGGGGGGGGAGGGGGGCAGGTCACACGATTCGCGCCAGCTCCGTCTGGGAATGCTTGCAAGAATGGCCAGTTCGCACACGGCGCTGGCGCGAGGCGTGACGTGTCCCCTGCAATGGGGGGGGGACCCGGGGGGTGTCGGGGCCGGCCACTGGCGTTCTCGCAAATGTATCCCGCCGAGTTTCTGAAAACGAAGCGTCGGGGGGGGCGTCACCCCCGCCGACAGCCCCCCATCGATCCCCGTCGCGGGCAGCCACCGCGCGCCGAAGGCGCTCCGACCCCCGTTGCGGCGCGACGACGAGGAGAGGTTGCTCCCCGTCGGGGTGGTACCCCCCCACGCTTATTATCACCACCCACCAAACCACCCCAACCCAACCCGAAGGCTCAGATTTACCCTCGATTTCCAGTGTGGGGGGGTCGGGAAACCTCGAAAAAACACATGTGGAACCCTTACCCCCCCCAACCCGAAATTCGGGTCTTCGGGTTGGGTTGGGGTGGTCTGGTAGGTAGTCATATTAAGAAACCCAGAGTACTCGACCAAGCGGGGCCCATGGAGGAGCACGACGCCTCCGCGCCCTCAGGCGAGCGCCAGTGCAGGCAGCGGAGCGCGGCGCGGACCTCCCGGCCGGCGCCACTGCCCCCTCTCAAGCGGCCGGTGGGGGGCAACGACGGGTGGGGACTGGCATGTAGGGGGGGGTGCATCGACCTGGGATCGGCGGTGCATCGCCGGTAGATCGGGGATCTTCTCGGGTCGGGGGGAAGGGGGGGGATTGGGAAAGGGGGGGTTACGAAATTTGCTGCATGCAGCTGGTTTCGGCCTCACCGAGGGGCCCATTCCTCGATACATGGGCGCCTCCTGGCGCCGGGAGGCGCCAGGAAAATCAGCTACGTGAGCTGATTCTCAAACCCCCCCTTTGCTATCCCCCCCTTTCGCCCGACCCGATGGGCCCCCGACAGCGAGTCCCCAGACCCCCGACGTCACGATTTTTTCAGGACGCGACCCCCAGAACTCTGGACCCCTTCCCCGGGACCGGCTCTTCCTTCTGAGTCGTTTTTGGACGCTCCCGAGGCCCGGTAAGGGCCCCCGGAGGCCGAAAGTGGCGAAAAACCTCCCGTCGTGTTTTTTTCACGACGCGAGGGGGTCTGGGGGTCCGCACCCTCCTGGGCCGGCTGGAGCTGTCGGGCCCCCGCCGGCGGTCCGCGGGCGGCTGGGGGTCGATGCGTGCCCCGCCGTGCCTGCCCCCCCCCTTATCTCTCGGGAGGGCAGGAGCCGCACAGACACAAGTGACCGTCGACTCCCCGGGAAGAGATGGGAACCTATGGGAAGGGGGGGGGGGCAGACAAAACATGGGGAAATCTTAGGAAATGTGGGAACATGTGGGGAAATGTGGGAAGTGGGGGGGAAGTGGGGACTCCGGTTCTTTGTGCCTGCTTCTCTGTGTGCCCCCGGGGGCCCCTGCCCCCCCCCAGACCCCCCCGACGTCGTGATTTTTCCATGACGCGACCCCCAGGACCCCTTCCCCAGGGCCGGCTCTTCCTCCTGCGTCGTTTTTGGACGCTCCCGAGGCCCGGCGAGGGCCCCCAGAGGCCGAAAATGGCGAAAAACCTCCCGTCGTGATTTTTTCATGACGCGAGGGGGTCTGTAAAACAGGGCTAGGATCGGGATAAATCGCTCCAGAGCGTTCCGGAGCGCTCTCAGAGCGTTCCGGGAAGCTCTGGAGCGGCCGCGGCGCCCAATACACTCTCCAAACCCGCCGATTCTCAGAGATTTCGAGTTCTCCCGATCCGATTTTGTGCCGATCTTCGCGTCGTTTTACCTGCCGTTGCCTGCCCCCCGAGGCCGGCGCGCCCCGTGGGCGCGGGCCCGTCGCCCCCCGCGCGGCGGGCGCGCCTGCGGCCGGTGGGCGCGGGCGCGTCGCCGGGCAGGCCGCGCGGCGCCCCGGGCGCGGGCGGGGCGCCGGGCGGCGGGGCGAGGACCACGTGCAGGGGGGGGGAGGAGGCACACAGAGGCACGAGGAAAATCGTCGACTCCCCAGACAGCAATCGTCGACTCCCCAGCAGGAGGGGGAGGAGGCACACAGAGGCACAGGGAAAATCGTCGACTCTCCAGACAGTAGTCGTCGACTCCCCAGCAGGAGGGGAAGGAAGCACACAGGCACGAGTAAGATCGTCGACGCCCCAGAAAGTAATCGTCGACTCCCCAGCAGGGGGGGGGAAGGAGGCACACAGAGGCACAGGTCAAATCGTCGACTCCCCAGGAAGGATGGGAAGATGTGGGAAGCGGGGGGGAAGACAAGATCCCAGAACATGTGGGAAACTATATGGGGGATCTGGTTGTTTGTGTCTATTTCTTTGTGTGTCCCCGGGCCCACCCCACGACCCACCCGCGACCCACCCGCGACCAACCCACATTGGTTTAACGAAAAATCGGCGCCTGCGGCGAGCTCGTTGTACAATTTGTAAAATTTTGGCGCCTGCGGCGGGCTTCTCCAGATTCTGTCAATCTGCCGACGTCCCCACCGCCCCCTCACTCTTATCTGCATCTACGGGGTGCTACGTATATACCCGCCTCGCATAGAAGCATCAACTTTCCGTGCGGATTTGTTGGGTCGGCGCTGCGCCCGCCCCTGGCGTCGCCTCCGGTGCCGCCCCTGGCGCGCTCCGCGTGCCAGGGAGGGGCTGTCCAGCGCAGATCCAGGAGATCCGCGCGGAGCTTGGAAAATGTTTCCCGGATTTCTCAATGAAAGGGGGGTGATCTGATTCGGTCGGAATCTGTTCTGAGCTGTCTTGGAGGGTCCCAGGGGGACTGGGCAAGAAGCCGCCCTTTCATGGCTGGTCTCGTTGGGTCAAGAATGCTTCGTCTGGGAGGAGTGCGCTCCCCCCCCCCCCCCTTTCAGCACGAAAGGTGGAATCTGTTTGTGCGATTTGTCGTCTCTGGAGGACGAGGGTGTCCGGAGACCGGCGAGCGCGGAGGGCCGAGGGCACCCAGAGATGGGCGAGGAGTAGCTCTCGGCCGGCCAAGGATGGCGAGGCTGTGCGCGAAGTGGAGGCCGGGGAGCACGGGAGGAAAGGTACCGATCCCGCTCAGGGTCGGGCGGGGGTCTGGGGTGGCCCAGCGCTGTGTTCAGGCGAAGGGGGGGCGAGGTTCGGGGTGCGTCGTCCGACCCAGCTTTTTTTTTGTTTTGTAATTTGTGGAAAACACGCACACACACACACACACACGGTAGAAACAAATGCACGGTGGAGCAACCAAACACAACACACACAACACACAACACACAACACACAACTCACAACTCACAACACACAACACACAACACACATAACACACACACAGTGGTAACACACACGCACTGTCTGTGTGTGTGTGTGTGTGTGTGTGTGTGTGTTTTTTCCCACAAATGGTGTTTTTGTTTTCCAGTAGTTTTTGGCTTCCAGGGGCCGTTGGCAGGCCCCGATCTGGGGGCAGTTTTTGGACAGGGGTCCGTGGACCGATTTTGGGTGGATCTGCCTGTCTCCCCCTGCCTTGACCGATCTTCTGGGAGCCCATCCAGTGCAGACCCTCTGGCCGCCTCCCCGTCGCCCTTCCCTCGTCTTCGCCTTTTTTGGGGCCTCCTGGGAGGCCCTCGTCGCCACAGCTGGATTCGGCTCGAAATCGTGGTCAGAGCGCACCCTCGGAGAAGTCCGAGGAGTAGCTGTGTTGGTGTCTTTTCTGCTGGTTCTCCCAGAGGAGGAGGACGGCGACGTCTTCGCGCCCGGTGACCCCCGAGAGGAGGATGGCGCCTTCGTGCACACCAGCCTCCGGGAGGACGCCCTCGAACATGATGGTGATCGTGCGTCGGCTGAGGCTTATTTGCAGCAAGTCGACGCGCTATTCGCATCAGTCGAAGACGACTAGCTATCACCGGCCACAAAGAAAGCCTGCTTCTCCTCATTCCTCCCCTCGTCGGTGCCATCGCAGCCGCTCTTCCTCCTCGTCGTCGTTCTCCTCCGCAGCAGATCTGGTGCAGGGGGCGGGCCCAAAAGGTTGCGTCGCACTCTCGGGCTCAAATCCACCACGCCTCGGCCGCCCTGCCCTGCTTCGCCCTTGGCGTCTGGGCGGTGTCCCTCCTTCGATGCCGGCAGCCTCGATTGGCGGCGCTGGCGCTGCAAGCAGGCACGCCAAGAAGGAACCTCAGAGCCCCGAATCATCAGGGGTAACTCGGGTCAGGGCTAACTCGGGTTCGTTTTTCGGGAATCCGAACCCGACTTACCCCGGACCCGAGTTACCCCGGATAATTCGGGCGTCCAGAGCCCCAGGGCTAACTCGGGTTCGTTTTTCGGGAATCCGAACCCGACTTACCCCGGACCCGAGTTACCCCGGATAACTCGGGCGCCCAAGAACCCGCCCTGCCAGCAGGTGCCGCACGGAAGTTTCTCATCTCCCGATGGCCCTGGGGGGGGGCCCACAGAAGCCGCTCAGAAGCCCTGGGGCTCCTCGGGAAGCTCGAAGCTTGGCCACAAGCGTGCCCCTAGGGTTCCTGCACCAGGATTCCGGGCCGCATCTGTCGCTTGAAGGTGCGCGTTCTTGGACTCCCAGACTCCGCTCCCTCTTGGGCGTCTTCCTATCTGTAGGGTCACGTGGGCGTCTTCCTTCGTCTTCCTCTTGGGCGTCTTCCTTCGTCTTGGGCGTCTTCCTTCGTCTTCCTCTTGGCTCCGCTTGGCTCCGTCTTCCTTCGTCTTCCTTCGTCTTCCTCTCGGCTCCGCTTCCTCTTGGGCGTCTTCCTTCGTCTTGGGGGGCGGGCGAAGGTCCACTTCCTGGAGCGCCGCGCGGATCTCTTGGAGCGGCGCTGGGCCCCCGTTGGTGGCGCCTCTGGCGCCAACCCCCGGGCGCGCTTCCGCGCGCCCGGGAGGGGGGGCCCACCGCCGATCCGAGCGCTCGGCGCGGAGCTCCGAGAGTGCACGCTCGTGCTGCTCTCGGCGCCTCCATTCTCAAGTCGGGCCTGTCCCCCTACAGGGGGGATTGTCGACGAAAAATAGAAGATGCGCCAAACATGACCAACACATAGTCGAAACATAGTCTGGGGACTATTTTTTTAGTATTTTTTTACCTCCTCGGGGTATTTTTGGGGTTTTCTTTATTTTTCGTCGAAAATCCTCCTGTAAGGGGACACGCCCGACAGAACTCAATTCCAACACGCTCCTGCCTCACGTCTCTGATTACCCACGCCTTCCAGCCGATGGGCGCCGCCCCGCGGCCCGAAACGGCCCCCCGGGCGCCGAGATTGTGCGAGAGCTGGCCGCCGGGAGCCTCGTCTCTTCGGGACGCCGGTGGCCGCAGGTGGTGGCCGGGCCTCCGCTCGCAGCCAAGCCAGGGACTCGGGCCGGACGAAAGGGGGGGATTGGGAAAGGGGGGGGTACACAATTTGCTGCATGCAGCTGGTTTCGGCCGCACCGAGGGGCCCATTCGTCGATGCATAGCCGCCTCCGGCGGCGGGAGGCGCCGGGAAAGTCAGCTACGTGAGCTGATTCTCACCCCCCCCCCTTTGCCCCCCGTTCGCCCGACCCGAGGGACGGGGCCCCCAGGAGTCCCGACCTCTCCCCCGAGCCGTCTCTGGACGGGCCCCGGGCCCTGCGAGGGCCCCTGGCAGGCCGACAAAAACGTCCGAGAGCCTCCCGTGGTGCGTTGTCGCGACGCGAGCCTGCCAGCATTGTCTAGGAGTGCGTGTGTGTGTGCGTGTGTGTGTGTGTGTGTGTGTGTTCGTGTGGGTGTCGGCGGCCCCGGCTCCCGCCTCCCCCTGCCTCGGCCGTCGCCCCGTCGTCCTTCCCTCCCCCTCCCCTGCCTGCATGGTGGCGCAGTGCGCTTGGCGTTGCCCGTCTCGCTCCACTCGCCAGCGCAGTCACTCTGCTCAGCCACGCGCAGAGGGGGGTGAGGGGAGGGGGGAGGCTTTCTTAGAAGCACCCCTGCTTCTTAGAAGGCGCGGGCCTTCTCTATAGGCGTAAGGCCGGCGCCTTCTAAGAAGCAGCCTCCTTCTAAGAAGCCCTCCCCCCTCCTTCCACCCCCCTGTGCGTGCCGCAAATCTGCCCAGCCGCCGACGCAAAAGGTGTGTGTGGTTGTCTGTCGTGCGAAGGGCGGCGCGCGCCGCCCGACGCGGTCAGGGCCGGGCGGGCGGCGCTGGTGCTGCGGCTGGTGCCTCCGCGCCGAGCCGCCGCGCACCGCGGGCCGCGCCGCCCCCTCGGCGACGAGAGGACGAAGAGAAGACGACGAGGAGGAGGAGGAGGAGGAGGACGACGACGAAGACGACGACGCCGACGAGGACGAAGACGACGCCGACGAGGACGAGGACGAAGACGATGACGAGGACGAGGACGACGACGAGGAGGAGGAGGACGACGACGAGGACGATGACGACGAGGACGAGGACGACGACTAGGACGAAGACGAGGACGACGACGACAAAGAAGAAGAAGAAGAAGAAGAAGAAGGGAAAGAAGAGGACGGCGGTGGCGACGATGACTGCGGCGGCGGCGACGACGACGGCGAACAACAACAACAACAATAACAACAACAACAACAACAACAACAACAACAGCAACAATGTAATAACAATAATAATTAGTCAGACGAAGAACACGGAAACGACGGCGACGATGACGACGAACATTGGGGCGGCGACGACGAAAATGGCAAGTACGACAACCCACAACGACGACAAAGAAGACACACAAGAACAAGACAACACACGAATAAGACTCATAGTAATCATGCTAACACTATAAGTAACCATACCATCACTAATAATATTGATATTACTAATACACTTGGTGATACCATTAATAATACTACGACTAACTAATCATAGCAATCACCATGCTACCATGATTAATACTATTAATAATGATAAGAATACTAGTAACAAGAAGAGCAATCAGAGGAGGCATCCGACTAATAGTAAGAAACATAAGACGAATAATAAACAGAAGAGTACTAATGTTATTAATAAGAAGAATAACGATACTAAACATAGTAATGCTAAGAATAATACTCATAATAACAATATTATTACTACTACTACTACTACTACTACTACTACTAATAATACTAATAATAATACTAGTAATAATAATATAATAATAATACTAATCATATTAAGACGATAATAATCATAAGAAGAAGACGAAGAAGAAGAAGAAGGCGCCGACGACCCCGAGGACGAGCGCGACGAGGACGACAGCGACGAGGACGACAGCGACGAGGACGACAGCGACGAGGGAGACGATGGCGCGGCCCGAGGGCCGCCCCCCTGCCGCCGCAGCGCGCGGCGTGCCGCGCGCAGCGCTCGGAGAGCCCTGGGCGGGCGCTCCGCGGGGGGCCTCCGGAGGGGGCAGCAGCGGGAGCCCAGGAGGGGGGGAGAAGGGGCGGGGTCGGGGGTGGACAGACCTCCTACCCTTGAGTCGGGCCTGTCCCCCTGCAGGGGGATTTTCGACGAAAAATAAAAAATACCCCCAAAAGAGTCAAAACATAGTCCCAAAATGGTCTGGGGACTACTTTTTTGAGCATTTGTTTTACCTTTTGGGGTATTTTTTGACCTTTTGGGGTATTTTTTATTTTTCGTCGACAATCCCCCTGTAGGGGGACACGCCCGACTTAATCCTGCCCTGACACGGCGATTAGTGAAATTGTCCGTTTTCGGTTCTCGAGAGGGCGCCGCGGCCATCATTTTCCAGGCGTGCGGCCGCCAGGTTTGGGCCCGAGGTCGTTTTCACTAAACCACGTTTTTGCTAAAGGGAGGTCTGTCCATCCCCGGTGGGGAGTACCTCGTTGCGGGGGGGGGGCGGGGGTGCGGGGGCTCTCTCTCTCAGCATCCGCCGCGAGCCTGCCGATCCAGCGCTCGAGACTTGACGGCCGTGGCTGGGAGGTCTGCGTTGGAGAAATTGTGAGGAGTAGTGGGAGTGGAGGAGGAGGATGAGGAGGAGGAGGAGGAGGAGGAGGAGGAGGAGGAGGAGCAGGCAGGAGGAGAGTCAGGAGAGGGAGGAGGCGTCGTGTCAGGAGGAGGAGGAGGAGGAGGAGGAGGAGGCCACCAGCAGCCGTCTGCGCCGCGCCGCAGGCAGAGACCGCCAGGCCCAATGCAGATGTAGGCGGCGCGCCCGCGCCCCGCGCGGGGCCGCTGGCGCGATGGTGGAGGCGGCACGCCGCGGCCTGGTCTGGCTTGGGACTCCGGTCGGCTCCTGGAAAGGCCCCCCCCCTCTCAGGAGAGCAGAGTGTGTGCCGGTGCCGCTGCCTTCGTCCCTCGTCGCCACGACCGGATTCGCTTCGAAATGCTGGTCAGGACGCAGCCTGGGAGAGGTCTGCGGATTACCGGCCTCGAACCTATCCCTATCCCTAAGATTGACACGCCAAAAGGCGATGACAATCTTAGGGATGCGCCCTCAAAAAATAAGGGAATCCCTGAGATTGACGTCGTGATGAGGAGATGCCCAGCATAGGGGATGTTCCAGGCTGGTAAGCGGAGCAGCGGTATTGGCAGCAGCCCCGGTCCGGGTTGGCGCTCGCTGGGCGGCCTAGCGGCTGGCGCGTCTGGTGAGAGGGCCCCTGCATGTCCGCTCTCCTCTCTGGGGCGCGTGTGCTGAGGGGCCGAGTTTGTAGGCGCGGTCCCTGTGTGGGCGGCGGTCCGCCCTCCAGTTGTCTGGTTCGGGCCAGCAGAGACCTTCCGGATCCAGGCGCCGCGGGCCAACACTACGACGAGCCTTGCTCGCCGCTTCTGCGGCGGCCCTCGCAGGTGGATCTGGCCCAAGAGATGCCGCGGAACATCGGGACAGACAAGTGTTCCTTCCGCTCCTGCAGCGGTCACGTACGGCGCTGCCCCGGAAGAGCTGGGCAGGCCGTCTCCTCCTCCTCCTCCTCCTCCTCCTCCTCCTCCTCCTCCTCCTCCTCCTACAAGA